ATTAGACATTAGGTCTTACAATGATACTTATTTCTGAGATGTTCCTAGAATCATTCTAAGATTTTCTGTATGATCTGGTACCATGTTATGTTAGGTCCTTTTCTGAGATTAATACTGGGCTGTACTTACAAAGTCATCCTTTTTTCATGGCTAACTAAACTAGCAATTCCAAATAACCTGCTCAGCTCAATGTCACTAGGCTGGGGGAAAAACCATAAACGAACAGTGACCATATGGAGTATACCCTGTTTCTGCCAACTATAAAACTCCTAGAACAGGCCCTGAATTTATGAATATATGAAAAGTCTGCTTTTGTGAATGGTGATGAAGATGCTGCTGCTGATTAATTGCAATGTTTTCTCCAACTTGAATGCTCCTTACATATTTTAGGTTACAACTCCCTCACCTCTTTTTTAATTAAGGGTGATAGAAACTGTAGATCAGAACATGTGAAAGGACTCAAGTTGGGGAAGGTTGCCCCAGCACTTCTGTGGTGGTAGTTGCCTCATGTTTGAGGAGCAAAGAACAGAGGACTATATAAACTGTATGTCTGTACTCCTTTATTCATGTTCTTAGAGCTCTAGTAAGATCAATATTACTTTCAGTGTGAAGTTGGGAGCCTGAGATCTGTTGATATAAGCAAAATGCAGTAAGTTCTGTAGTAGCAAGACAGACAGCTAGACAAGGGAGACTACGGGGGGAAATATATTTTTTTCATGTTACAGTTTCTGTGGACAGTTGTTATTAAACCTAGTTGCTATAAATATTTGCATTTTTCCCTCCTAGAATCAGGATCACTATTCAGTTCTTGGACTGGGACATTTAAGATATAAGGCCTCCCAGAAACAAATCAAAGCAGCCCGTAAGTTCATTTCAATCCTGTACTGAAAGTGGTTATACTGTATGAGCAACTGTGTCCTGTTCTGGAAAATGCTAAAACAATAAAACTCCCTCTCCCAAAGTTGAATTGTTTCCCGTGTCATAGTCACTTGTAGGCTGCAGTGTGAAAGTTCTAGGGCTGCTACGAGGGGACAATTTAACCTCCTTCCTTCAGCTGGTCTTATCTTCCTCTCCAAGGCTAGATCTGACTGGAGTGACATCAGTGTTAAGCTGAGCCATAAGATTATGATCTTAGCTTAAAAGACTTATGCTGGGAAATAATATTTTAGAACTCTGGTATCGGATGGTGATGGAGGAGTCAGAACAGCTAACTTATAACATTAGAGAAAAACAGTAAAATGTATTTTATGGTGGCTTGAATTTAATATAAAACATCTGACATTAAGGCTTGTTGCTCATTTGGTGACCAAAAACAATACAGAAATCATACCTGTGCCTATAATGAGTTTAGTTGTAATTTTCATGAGAAGTCTCTCAGTCTTTCAGTAGAGTGTATTTGCATTTTGTCCAAAACCGAGAGATTGTAAAAATTAGTACTGTATTGTATTCCCAAATTTGGGGCTATATAGAGTCCAAAAGCAAATGCATTTTCCTAAAAATAAGTTTAACTCC